CTGGATGGTATAGTGTGGTCTAGGAATGAGGTACAGAGATAACAGGAAAGTACCATATATTTTATTTATTTAAAAAAGGTGTTTTTATATGTGCACTATGTTATTTGTCCCTTGCAATGTCTGTTTAAATTTTACACCGCCAAAGCATTGTAGTTGAAGTCACTCAATGAGAGGCTGGCGCTCCTAGGGGTGGCGTGGAAGAGGTAGCGTTGAATGGAGCTGCGTTGAGTGGAAGTTGTACCATAACGTCGTGTCACGTCGTGTTGGATTGTGAGTACCCGCGGGATGAGATTATGGTTGCGTTGTTGAAGTTATGTCGATTGCATTGTTGCGTGTATTGTATGTGATATAAAGTCGAGTCTGCCGCAGATGCCCCTTTAATCTTTAAATTATGACGCTGCAATTAGCACAAGGGAAAACGGACACCTAAATGAACCAGGAGAACCGCTTGACGGACGACGCCTAGCTCCGACTTAGCGCCGCCTTAAAAATGAACTTCTCCGTTTGCCGTGTCCTAAAACCTTTATGTTATTGTTTCTGTCAGCTGAAAGGTGGAATCGATGATTGCCCCTGTTCAGTGGATACAGTGGATTATTTCAATAACATCAATGTTTATCCACGCCTGCAAACCTTGATGCATCTAGATTTTTTTCGGTACTACAAAGTCAACTTTTTACGAGATTGTCCTTTCTGGGTAGACGATTCGAAGTGTTCTGTTCGAGATTGTCACGTGAAATCTTGCCCTGTCGACCATGTACCGGAAGGAATCCGCTCGGAAGACAAGCAGATTTTCTGTGATATCCGTGATAGCCCACCGTCAACTTCGAATGAGGAACTAGGACGCCTTGATGCGACACTGTCGGAAAGTGCGCGTCAAGAACTTCTGCAATGGGTTGCGCACGATGACGTGGAAGCCTTGAGCTACTGTGACATAGGAGACAATATGGAAAACGAAGCGGAATTTGTGGACCTATTGATAAATCCTGAGCGGTTTACAGGTTATCGTGGACCATCGGCCCACAGAATTTGGCGTAGTATCTATGAGGAGAATTGCTTCAAGCCAGATAATGCTGTATCGAATCCCTTTGAAGCCTTGAAGAATATGTGTATTGAGAAGCGTGCATTCTACCGTGCATTATCTGGCTTGCACACCAGCATCAACGTTCATCTTTGCGCAGGTTTCCTGATGACGGAGCGTGCTAAAGCTTTGGCTTCTCTTTCTGCGAACAAAGTGGCTTGGGGTCCAAATCTTGAGGAGTTCAGGAAGCGGTTTGATCCGGATATGACGGAGGGTTATGGTCCACAGCGGCTCAAGAATTTGTACTACCTGTACTTGTTAGAATTACGTGCGTTGTCGAAAGCTGCTCCCTATCTGGCTCGTCAACAATTCTACACAGGCAACAAAGATGAAGATGAATCAGTGCGATTGTCCGTCCGTGATCTATTGAGAGTTTTACGCTCATTTCCAGATCCGTTCGACGAGAAAATTTTATTCAATGATCCAACAAGTGGGACAGTTTTGAGGGAAGAGTTCCGTCAGCATTTTATCAATATCACTCGTATAATGGACTGTGTTGGATGCGATAAATGCAAGTTGTGGGGCAAGCTTCAAATTCAGGGTCTCGGAACGGCGCTGAAAATCTTGTTCACTCCAGATGATCACTTTTCGCCTTCCAGAGGACACTTGAAGTTTAGGTTACGGTCCTTGCTCTAACAACGTAATAAGTTACGGAAGCGCGCCGACAGCTTGTCACACGTAGTAAACTTATGAAAGGCCAGGTACTACGCAACTCACTTTACGCAACAAGCGAATGGAGAGTGCAAGAGAAGCAAAAGAAAACTCGAAGCCAACTTTATTCCGTGTTCAGCTGGTGAACAGAGAAAAGATCTCTACTTGAGAAGATCTGGAAGAAAATCGTCCTGTGGCTTAATATTTTATCTCATTGCATTTTTTGACATTTTTGAGCATTTTGGGAGTGGAAACTTCCTCGAGAACTTACCTCGGGATACCAATGTAACTGAGTTCATGTAGGATGATTTTATCCCTCTTTGACTTCAACAATAACTCAACAAGAAGCGTTCGAGGCATTCTCCGACTGTCGCAGTGTTTTGCGCGCTGACGTTCATCATTATTCTGATCTTCGGGATTTTTTTCATCATTTACTGTTCACTGAACGTGTGTGAGCACATTTTTTGTCTGAATTTCAGATTGATACAATTACCTAGTGTAGGTCAGTTGGAGTGTTTTTTCAGCCTTGGATCAGAAACTGACTTTACCCCCACTCGCGGACGAAAGATCCAAGACTAACTGCCTTTCGCGAACTCTTCTAAGTTAGTACCGGTTAACAAGTAATAGTAACCGGACACAAGAAAAAACTTTGTTTTCTGAACAAAAGCATTGCTTTGTAAGTAATTACTGTCATGGGTTTGAATTTCCCAGCCCCTTTATAAAGTTGAACCTGGATGACTCAACCTGTTCAAGTCGACTAATTCCCCGAGGCTAATTTCTTTACGTCCCTCTTCGAATTCCGTATCTTTGTTACCTAATTTTTGGAGGGATTGAACTTCCTAAGGGGGGAGCTTGGGGGCTTAAGCTTTAAAGACCTCCGGAAAACCCCTAATAAAATAACTGTCACTTCTCCTTTTCTTTATTTTTACAGTCTCGATGCCATTTGAAAATTAGTGAAAGACTATTGGGGCAAATAAACACACATTTGTCTTCCATTCAGCATTTTTTCAACTTATTTAAGAAGCAATTTAAGGCCTAGAATATCACGAATTAAATATCCTGTAATCCCTTATCTCGCCCAACAAAAAGGTTTGCTTCCCTAACTCAAACTTTTGGCTGGTCCCTTGATTGTCGACTGAAAGAGATTGGACTGTACAGTATTTATTATTTCCAAATTTTTAAGAATGTTGTATTGACGCAATCTCAGGTTCAATAAATGCCTCGATTTTGTTCAAATCGAAAGCTATGAAAAAAATTCCGTATTTTTGTACATATGGAAGTCTGGGATATTTGAGAATAAGGAAAGGAAATTTCGTAACGAACAGCAAATTGATCTAGTGAATCGATTGGCCGTGGTTGCTATTTGTCTTATTGCTTATCGTCGTGCAGAATCTTCTCTTCGGCCGATTATTGTCGCTTGGATTCATGAGTTGATTGATCAATTTTTTTTTCTGTAGTCTACCAACAAAAAGAAGACGAGAAAGATGCGCGGACATGTCAGCCATGGGCATGGTCGCATTGGTGCGTGGTACTTCTTTATTAAATTCGCGTTTAATGCAGATTATCTTTAGTATGAACATATTTATTTCGCAGGGAAGCATCGTAAACATCCCGGTGGACGTGGTAACGCTGGTGGTCAGCATCATCATCGAATCAATTTCGATAAATATCACCCGGGTTACTTCGGAAAAGTACGATTATTCCCATTTGCGCAATTGGCAAGTTACTGTACTTGAATATATCCACTTTCTAGATCGGTATGCGAAATTTTCACGTAAAAGCATCGATGGATTGGTGTCCGATTATCAACTTGGACAAAGTTTGGTCACTCGTGTCCGAGAAAACCAGGGAAGCCTACAAGAACCATCCAGATGGCAAAGCCCCCGTTATTGACGTTGTGAAAGCCGTGAGTGCTTGGAATTACTTCGAAAGATTTATTTTACTGCAAGAGCATCGTATTACTGTTCGTTTCAGGGGTTTTCTAAGGTTCTGGGGAAGGGCTTGTTGCCCAAGCAACCGGTCATCGTGAAGGCGAAATTTTTCTCTAGGAGAGCTGAGGAGAAAATCAAGGAAGTTGGTGGTGTTTGTGTACTCACCGCCTGATTTCTCTCGCTTTTGTGCCCTTGAAAGTGAATACACACCATGGGGTTCAAAGTCGTTCATGCTCAATTTTCTCGATTGATTCCTTTCGTATTTTGTCTCTGATGAAACTTGATGTAGTTTTTCATTGTGTTTAGCGTCATTTTGGGAAGTGGCATCATGGCATGGCAACACTGTTCTGGATTGATCTGGGGGTTTCGTTATGTTATGATAGTTGCAGGGTGTAGTTTGTTTTGCGTGTTTTCCTTACTGTCTTGCTTGCGTTCGTAGTTTTTCGTTGGTAGATTTTAAATGGGTACATCATGCAATAGGTAATTGATCATATGCCATTTTTCGGTAACACATGGTCCATGGACTGGCGCTGGTCCTAGAAGGTATTTGCTGATCTGCAGGAACATTTCTTCAGCCTATTACATTTATTTAAGGTAGTAGTGAAGTCTGTTCTCATCTGAAATTTCGGAAAGATAATGACGCTTGAAATTATCCAATGAAAAATTAAAAGTTAGCTGAGAACACCTGAAACAAATTTTCACCTGCTGAACTTGATTATTTCAAGAATTCATTCTGAGAAACCTTAAGGCCAGTTTTCTTGTTTTTTGAAGACATTCTATTATAGCTGTTACATTGTTTCTCAACTTAATTTTTGCTATAACATCTTTGTGTGGAGAACCTATTGTGTGGAGTACAGTATTTAAAACAAGTATGCTGGTCTCCTAAGGAAGTTTGCCAGTCTGCTGGAAAAAAGGTTGGGGAACACTGCTCTAGAGTCTAGACTGTCTTTTGGAAAGCTGAACATTGTCTATGCTTGTAAATTATTGTTCAAAGCCTTTCCAAAATGATTCTATGCACAAGGAATGAGAACAGTACCAAAATAAGGTTCAAAAGCAACAAAAAATGGGATCACATGAATGGTTTGGGTCAGTGGGCTTCTTTTTTTTTCACAGAGTGTCCATCCTATGCGTTTTTTATTCTTGTACAGTTTTATTTGATAATCTTGTGCAAAGCTGTTGACCATTGGCTGATGATATTCTTCAGGAAACTGTTTTCTTTTGTCACAAGTACGCGATTTTGTTGACGTGGTGAATCTAAAATGTCGCGTGTCGCTGTGGTGAGTTTGACAGATAACTCTTGATCATGTTCCTGTCATTAATTTTATAATGGTCATAGGTCACCGGCTCCAATAAAGGCATTGGCTTTGGCATCGTAAAGGATTTGTGCTCGAAGTTCGAAGGGTCCGTCTACTTGACGTCCAGAGATGAGCAGAGGGGGAAGGCAGCGATTGCTGACCTCGAAAAGGTTCGTTATTTCATCGAAGAGGTTTCTTGGAAGTATTTTTTCAGAACGTTTGTCTTTACAGCTCGGTTTGAAGCCCAAGTATCATCAGTTGGACATCACTGATGACGCCAGCGTCTCTGCATTGAAAGATTATCTTGTTCAAACGTACGGGGGACTCGATGTTCTTGTAAACAACGCTGCTATTGCTTTTAAAGTGAGATGAAATTTAAAATTTAAGAGAATCATTGTGATTTTGAAACGCTCTTTTCGTAGAATGATGCAACAGAACCTTTTAGTGTGCAAGCCAAGGAAACCTTGCATATCAATTTTTTCAAAACATTGGACTTCTGCGACGCCATTTTTCCGATTCTCCGACCTCATGCCAGAGTGGTGAACGTATCCAGCTCAGCTGGGTTTCTTGGCCGGGTTCCTGGAGAGGAGCTGAAGAAGAAATTGGCGAATCCGGACTTGACCAGAGAGGATCTGATTGCCGTCATGAAGGACTTCGTGGAGTTAGTTCTGAAAGAATGACTAATAATTTTTTAATTCCGCGTTTCTTCGGTAGGGTCTCGTGTTGATAGTTGTCAGAAAAAATGTTTTGGGGCAATTTTCTCATTATTTTAATAGCTACAGTTGAACCTCTTCTAGTCAAACTTTGAGACACCAAAGAAATTCCAGTTCATTGGTTTTTAGTTAGGGAAACAAGCATTTTTGCTCAGGAAGAAAAATAAATTCAGAAAATGCACACATATTGGTGATGTTCTGTGCATTGAATGGCTTCCTGAATGAGTTGACAGGATGCTAAAGTTTAAGGCAAAGATTTATTTATTTGCCAAGTTAGTCTTCCACTTCCTTTGAGAATGCATCAAGTTACATTTCATCCCTTTTCTCTTTTGTGTGTCAATCCAAAAATATCCAGAAAGCCCCCAGAAATTTCGAGCTGCGGAGCTCTGAGTGGGGAAAGCCTTTCAGTTCGGGAGGTTTTATGTGCATTGTTACTAAAGGAATTCAGACTGGGACTTGAAAACGTTTTGAGAAATTGAGGTATATGACTGAGGGAGTTACAACTTATCCAGGTTCAATTGTATGTGTGCCTCAACGTACTGCTTAATTCGATTTTTCTCATGTGTCAAATTTTGTATCCCGCTTACTAATCAAGATGCATGTCATGGATATTGTGCAGTTTTTCTCATGACTGGGAGAGTGGATTCTCTCATGGATTACTTTTTCGGAACAGTACATGTTTTTGTTCACTTACAGATCTGCTGCCGAAGGAACTCATCAGTCCAAGGGCTGGGGCAACAGTGCGTATGCAGCCTCTAAAGTGGGATTGAGTGCCCTTACACGTATCCAACAGCGGGAATTCAACGCAGATACGCGTGAAGACTTGGTGATAAACCACGTTCATCCGGGTTACGTGGATACTGATATGACTTCGCATAAAGGACCCTTGCCTATTGAAGAAGGTGAGGTCAAGAGTAGCGCGGATTTTCGACTTGTTCTTGAACCGTACAAAGCTGTTTTTGAGTACCAAGTACTGTAAAGTAAAACGCAAGGATATATCTGGTAATTATGGACATGGCTTTTCATGTAGTGCATACTTTAATTGGTCCACTGCCTCCTGTAGCCTTTTTTAAAAATTATTCTAGTAAAATAAAATTCAATTTTCACTTTTTCAGCAAACAAAAAAAAAAAAAAAAAACTGGGGTGCAGGTCTAATATTCGGGCAACTTTTTTCCGAAAATTGAAGGTCTGAGTCTCACTTGAGGGTGCATGGTACTTAGACTCTTGAGTGAATACGGTACTTTACATCAAAATTACCACAGAATATACATAATGTACCTGTCAAACTCCAGTTCTCTGCTATTTGTTTTCGTGTTCTTCATCTGCGTCTGTTTTTCAAAGCTCACGCTGCTTGTTATTCTCAAGTTATTTTCATTGTCACACTTCCAAACATAGTGGCATTCAATTTCAGTTTTTTCCACCAATGTATTGGAAACACTTGTCTAGAAGCGCAGTTATAGCAAAAGGTCATTACTGTATGTGTACCACGTGTGGGCCGTCAAACGGTTGAATAGATTTGATGGAATAGAAGTTCTGAATGATTTCAAATTTATTTCAATTTTCAAGGTGCTGTGTCATCGGTTTTTGCTGCGCTGATTCCACCTGGTGCAGCTTCCCCGAAAGGCGATTACATTTGGTTCAAGAAAGAGATCGTTGACTGGGTGAATGGTCCTCTTCCATCGCAGTATTGATTTTTTGGGTTTCAAGAACACCATCAATCATTGGCAGGAGAATTTTGGCTTTTCTCTGAATGAGGGCTTTTGGATACTTCACGTTCTGCTTAACTACAAAAGCTTTTCCAATGTCAAGTGATGCTCGGGATTTGATTTTTCGAACGCTTTCTGGAATTTTGAAAGCATTTTATCGATTTCATTCATTACATGTATCAGAATGTCGTGCAACGTATCGTGATGAATATCTGTAAGGTGGCTGGACTCCGAGCTGAATAAAGACCTGCAGAACTGAGGATTATTCCTGATGTAAATTTGATAATCGTGTATTTTTCCGCTCATTGCACTTGAAAATCATTTGCATTCCCGAAAAACCTTACGTGAATTCCACCGTATCATGAAAAATTGGTTGTTCTGGCTCATAAATTGCTTTGTCTCCGATTTCCAATACAGTAACGTGTTAGTATATTATATGTGGCTGAAAAACACGACAGCAGTACAGTAAAATTAGCCCAATTCCTGCCATGGGCCCCATTTGTGATTCAGGGGCTTTTTGGAAAATCATAAAAAATATCTATGCATTTAATTCCTAGTGGCATTCCAGCATCACAAATGTATTAGAAGATATGTTTGCACTCAAATTTAGCTTATACAATTTTGTCAAAGAAAATGCCAGCATTTTTTTTTTCAATTTATAGAAGACTTTTCTTTTTGGTTTAAAAGAAGATGATATCTGCCATGATCTCCATTTGGGGATCAAGTTTAAAATTCAAATATTTGACAGAATTTTGAATTTAAAATGCAAAAAGAATGTCCCCAGCCTATATAAATGTAAATGAAGCAAAAATGGGTGTGTAGTAAATTTGGAATTTAATAGGTTAAAATGCTCTTGGCATCTGTTTTCTTCTCTTCATACATTGTTCTAATGTGGCATTCAGTAAATTTTGAGACACCGTAAACCTGTCCTGTTTAATACGTGAAATTTATGCAGAAATAATAGACAAATAAAGCAATCAACCCACGCAAATATCCTTCTCAATTTGTTTTAATCGCCAACATCGAACTGTTCCACTCATCGCGCGTCAACGGATTAGGTAACCAACTTTTACTCAAATTTCTTTTCTCTCCACAATTTATACGAAGGACAGTGTGACTCGCATTCCGTTCCCACGCACATTAATATAAGGCCTTCGTCGCGCTGCAAAATACTGCAGAATTTTTTCGTTTTTGCCGGTTCCATCCTTTTTATTCGCACGAACGATTCGTTTGCAAATCGCAACAGGAACACCAAAAGGACGCGTGTCAGTGAGTTTTTGCAAATGCGACACCACCAAACACACAGCACAGACACACGTCATCATGCGCAACAGTACGAGGAGAGTCTCGAAAGTTTAGCAAATCATGGGGATAAATTGGCATCGCAATAAATAGGTATATATGAAACAGAAATATCCATTTTTAAAGCGAGAAACATAGTCAATATCAAGAAAAAAATGTTGTCATTTCCTGTGAGAATGAGCAAAAGTTCTGTGAAATATTATTTCAAACAAATTACTTTACATCGGCGGATCAAGAGCAAAACTTTCTTCTTCAAAATATTTCGTGAATAACCGATATTGAAAATTGTCAACTCGAAAAGTTTTTGTTGAAAATATATCAACTCGTCAGATATTGATTATTCTCAATTCCTCAAAGACTATTGGAATTTGGTTTAACGACTTTTTTTTTGGCAGAAAATAATGCTTCCGTAATTTTTCTATAATCAAGAGCGCCAAAATGGAAATTCGCCAAGAAAATTTTGCAGTCGTGAAAAGAAAAATGAGTTGGATTGAAAACCATGAAACTATTTTATCGGGAAAATGCCAGTGAAAATCTGAGGACCTTTCCAAAATTAAATTGAAGCATTAGTATATATTTTTGACAATTTTTCTCCCTGCTGAAGGTCATATATACCAATAATTATACTGTAACTGAACTTCAATTTTTAGTATTGTATATCGATGCAATTTCGTTGCTGCCAATATATATAGAAGAACATAGGTCAAAACGGAACTTTCTGTTTCATCTGCTATTTTATATGCAAATTGCAAATTTTCCACGTGATTCGCAATAGACTTTCGAGAAGCAATCATCCTCGTATAAGGCAAGGCTCGAACGTCCTCATAACGAACTACCCGTTCGAGAAGGCGTCAGTCGCATAAAAAGCATCACGTTGGCAAAAAAAAGCACTTCTCCGTGGTTCTTGTTACTTCTCAATATAACGGAAGCTCGTTCCGCACAAAAAAACACAATTTGACATTTCTTTTTTTTTTTCTCCCGCAAGCCGAAAAATTCCTAAAACTTGGCGCAATAACAAACCAGGTTTCTTTTCGTTATCATCAGCAGCAACAGGGACACGATGATATGGAGTTGAACAGGAAGAATACTTTGGGTCCAAGGTTTTCTTTTGTTTTGTTTTTCTTCTTCTTCTGGTTTGGAAGATACAGGGGATTTTTCCTTTCCTTTCCTTCCTTCCTTCATTCTTTTCGTTGGGCACAGGATGATGATGATGATGATGATAATACACAATTTGAGAGACAGAGAGAGAAAGCAAATGATTGCCTGTCAGTTCAGGTTTGAGTAAACTTGACATAGGAGTTGTAGCGCTCCGCATTTCTCCGCAAAATGTCTTCACAAGGCCCCAGTACTCGTTCAAACCTGCAAAAAGAAGAAATTAACATGCTTCGATGCTGTCAAATTGGTTCTGATGGACAACAATTTTTTTCTCAAACATTGCCTGAGAAAAAAATGGCGTATTTTCCCCTTTTTATGATTTAGCAGAGGGTTTGAAATGTATATAAGCAAGGTTATGGAATACAAATATATTCACTACAGGGTATTGTTGAGCACAGAAATATTGAGCATGCAATTAATGTTTGTGTCATCTAACATCCCCTTGGTACATGATACCATAGCTCTTTTGACAAACTCACGACATTTTAATAAAAATTCCATCACATTTTTAAATGTGTCCAAGTGGTGTCCTTTCTGCAGTATGAATAAATTTGTTGATGCATCACCAGAGCACCTTCTTTTTTTATGCCCAGCATTCCACAGCTACAGAAATGAGCTCCAAAAATATTTGGGATTCTTACAGAATTCAATCAAAAGACTCTTTCCAAAATCTTAGAGGTCTAAGATAATCTGTTAACCTTATATGATTTCTCATCACAGATTGTCTTCAAACTGTTTAATCAACTAAACTGAGCAGGTTGAACACCTTGTGCTTCAATTTGGATTTAGTAATTGCTTTATGCTGCAATTTGTATTATTGAAATTTTTTTTTGGTGAACAGGGAAGGGAATAAAGTGTATGTGTATTTATATCAGTTGTTCAGTTGAACTTTTTGGGATGCATTTTGTTTTCTTTTAATAACCATGTTCAGCTTGTTTCTCTATTTTTCCATTCTGATGTGAAGAATGTGTTTGGATGAATGTGGGTGGGGAGGGGAGGGGGTTTGGATGTGGGAACATTGTTTAAACCTTGTGAATGCTGAAAAGCAGAAAACAAAGGAATAAAGCTTGCTGTTCAATTCTATTCAATACTTTGCATTAATCTTTAATATGAAACTATTTTTTTATTTGCTTTGGTACAAGATATTCAAGTTCAAGGACAATATTTCATGAAAACAAAAATAAAATGGTGCCATGACCAGTTCACAAGAAATAATAACAATAGAAATAATGCTTAAAAGTTGTTGATTTGCTGTGACACAGCTAGAAAATACAGAGTAGCATTGAGCAACAAGCCTAATCTTTGAGGCATTTATTTTCTCAATATTAATAAGCCAATATATCCAATATGGTAATTTACATTAGAAAGGCAAAATAATTTTTCCAGTCAAATAAATAGTACTTTATATCAAAATCAATGAAATCCGGAGATGAAAAAGAAAATGGAGAAACAATTTTGAAAGCAGAAAATATATATTGAAAAATATCCCTCAGCAGAACCTCCTATAATCAAAGGTACTAGTACACATTGCAATTTTGTCTCCAATTCGAGGATATACAATCGTCAATCATTCATGAGATCAAATTACGTGAATTAGCAACTTGAATTCGCTTTTCAAATATATGGCATTAAAAGCACAACCGGAAATGATGAAAGGCATACTGATCAAACCGACCTTTCTCTGTCAAGGCGGACACAGTCCAAGGGCCCTTTGGCAATTATGGTGGCTGCTCTTGGTGTGTTGTACAACAAGGCAATTTCCCCTGTAAAATAGAGAAAAAAAAACACAGAACATACAAAAACTCAATTTCAAAAAAATCATCCAAGAAGATCAGGAATTTTTTGAAGTTAGAAAAGTATCTCCTACACAACAGTAGATTTTTCTCCATCAAAGCAACAATTGCCATAATGCATGAACAAAACCCTTTGAAAAGATTACACTAAGATGTTCTTCATTGTTTGCACTTTAATTCGCCATTTGAAGAATGAATAGCAAGTTCAGGATACATTTTTCATTCCTTTATATTCCTGCCAAAAATTTTTCTCAGAAAACCTTAATAAATGTTTAGCTGATGTATAATGGTGCTGTTATCCTCATGAACATACAAAAAACCAACATTCCACCTTTGCAAAACACTTACTTGAACATCAATAACTGATCATGTCTAGTTACAAAAATTGCGTTTTCACATAAAACTACACTTTCTCTGTGAAATTCTTTTTTGAGATAACAAAAAAATTTTACTTTCATTGCACCCTTTTTCTCTAACCCGTTTTATCTGAACTTTGTAAAATAACTCTTTGATCTGCAAGCTTGGTAATTGGGCTCTATCCCTTTGTTGTTAGCTCTACATTGCGCATCCTTCATTGTGTTGTACTGCTGTTCATAAAAACCTGGATATGCCAAGAAAAAATGAGAAAATTTGCTGCTCTATGACATAATTTCAATCATCAATATGACTGATCATTGTAGTACTGAACATGGTGCTCTTTGATGTATACAGTATAAAAGGGCAGAAAAGCCTAAATTATAATAACCAGCTGGTTCCTCAACATCTTGACAGCGCTTCTTCGATGATCCCCCAAAGGCAAAACAAATAAATATATGAAGTGTATACAGTACTTTAGGAAACAAAAACACAAAAAAACAGACAGCAAACAAAGAGAAAATGACTATTACACAGTATATACAGTATTATTGTAAGTACCAAAGTAGTTGGAAGACTTGAGAGTGCCGACTTTGATGGGGGTCTGGTCCCCGTCGCCGGGTTTCACTTGGAAAACCTCCGCCACACCCTCCATGATTATGTAGAAATCGTCGCCTTGATCCCCTTGTTTCACCACCACGTCGCCATCTTTGAACGACACGGGCTGCAACGCATCTGCGACTGTGCTTCTCTCGTAATCCTCAAGATCCGCTGCAAATAACACTATTCGTCAATTTTTTTTGTCTTAATTCAAACAAGCATAAATCCCAAGAACACGTCCTCAAAATGCAAACATTTCGTATGAGAGACACGACAAATAAGTACGAAGGTCACGCGAAGTACGGTAGTCTTTCGCGCAGCGAACAGCTAGTTTTCAGATTGCTGCGAGCGACATCTACTCGAACTAGAAGATTCTCAGGGCTAATGAATGTGTGAATCAGTCACAGGAGACGCAACGGGAATCCAAAGCATGCATGGAAGGGTTTTTTCATCAAGCCGCATTAGATTGAGTTGTTTATTCTTGCGCATACTATTTATGCAGTCAGTAAAAAAAAAAAATACCTCGCCAAATATGTTACCTTATTCCATGTGAACTCAGAAAAATTCCTACAATATTTTTGAAAACAATTGCTACTGTATAGGCCAAGCGTTATCGTTGGAAAGTTTATGTTCCACCCAGTACAACAGTTATTCTCCTATCGTTTCCCAAAGGGAATTCGCGCACAGCGGCCTTCATCATACAACGTTCTCCTCCATCATCATCATCATGCAGTCCACAATAATAACCCAGATTCATCAACAACCACAAAAAAAAGTCTGTCTCTCCTTTTATATTTACGGTATATACATATAAATTCCCCCATCATCATCGTAGCGCAGCAGCAGCAGCAGCATGCTTGTGTGTCACAAGAAGGAAAGCAATAATAACTCGATGGAACAAGACGGAGACGGATGATTACCCAGGATGTCGATCTTGCTGAGGAATTCGTCGTAAAGTTTCCTCTTTTTGATGGTGGATCCCATTAGGATCCGTCGATACGTTTCCCTGTCGATGCCCCAGACTTTGACGTGCGTCGTCGCGAGGACAGACGCGGCCCGGGGCTGGCCAAACATCAGGGCCAATTCCCCGAAACTGCCGCCTTGGTCGTACGCCGCCACTTTCACGCCGTCTTTCACCGCCTATTTATTTGTGTCACACGACGACAACAGCATTCAAGCAAAAAAAAAAAAAAAATTAAAAAATTAAATGGGATCCAGATGATTATTATTTTTTTTCTCATTCATTTATTGACGATTTCGCAAATATTGTTTCTTTCCTATGTACTCTTATGCAGATCTCTCTGAAGATAAAAAAAAAATTCCCGCACTGGAATTCACAAAGTCCATTAACCGAGACATCTCTGTATAAAATCAAAACACTGTCAAAGAACTCTCGTAAATTCTACACACAGGAGCAGATTATATTTTTCGCAATGTGTTCAATGAGAAAAAAAGGAAATTATATAAATGTTACTTTGTAAAAAAGAAAAATAAAGACAAACCTCGCAAGTGCCCTCGTGGACAATGTAGAAATTGTCTCCTTCATCGCCCTGCTGAATGATGACACCCTGGGGCTCAAACTCCTTCTCAAACATGGCATCAAAAACGTCTTGCTTCTCATTAAAGTCCAGGTGAGTGAAGAGAACGTTGTGCTCGATGGCTTTCGACATGGACTCTTTTGACGCTTCGTTTTTTGGCACAACCTGAAGCCAGAAGAAAACAAAGATATAGACAAATGAATTTCTAGAAATGAAAGAGGGATGTGTGATTTCTTGGCAAGGACTTGGACCTTTCGTTGATAAGGAGTGACGTCATTTTCGTCCACGGGTTCCGCTGAAACGGCGCCGCGTCTCGCTGGCGGCCTTTTCATCGGCGTGGCTTTGCCGTCGACACCCAGCAGCAGGCCGCCATGTTCGGCAACGTCGGCGTCCATCTTGGCCGAGCGATTGCTCACGTCACCCTTCCATTAATGAAGAAACGAAAGCAATCTCTTTTTTATTTTATTTTACCAACGCAAAGCATTAATTTTAATCGTCCATTAAATTTTACACAAAAAAAAAAACTGCTCAAAAACATACACGAAATGTAGATTTTTTCATTTCTGTCCAAGAGCTTCTCAAAAGTTATTCGTAGCAGCGATATACATTTCGATGGAATTTTTTCCGATTTTTGACTGCATTTACTGTACTTCGAAGATTTTTTTTAATTCTGCAACTCAAGCTTACCTCGAAAATGAAACATTAAAAATTGAAAAGCAGCACTTCTTCAATTCCAAGCGTTGTTTTCGAAATAACAAGGTAGGTGTCGCCTGAATCAGAGGAATACATGCATGCTCTGATTCTATTATATGAAGGTCATAACGTTTTCTGATTATTGAAGTGAGGAGAAATTTCAAATTATGAATTCGAATTTCACTCGTAAAAAAGATAGGAGTTTGCCAACGTCAATTGCATGACGGATATTAATTGGGGTACATTTTAATGATCTAGGCTTTGAATATTAATCGACGGATGAAACGGCGACCGATGAATAAAAGGTCTCGGAATGCGTTGGACTGCTTGAAATCTATCCAATTATTTTTAAAATTAAAATTACTTCTTGGGAAAATTACTGTTTGGGTTCCTAAAAATTCCACCGAACCAAAAGCTTGTTTCTTTTTTTTTTAGATATTACGTTGAAAAACTCACGTCACCGTCGACGTCCAGGCGTTTCCTGTCGTCGTCCGGCGACGGCGATTTGTCTGCTGACGACTGTTGGGGGTGTTGCTTGACACTGGCACTGACGTCTCCCGCCGAAAATGTCCTCTCTCTTTCTGAACCACTTTTCTCTGTTCATCGGAATCCAAAAAAGTAAAAAATAAAATTAAGAATTATTTTCAAAAAATACCGAAGATCAATCGAGTATAGTTTCCACTTGATCGAAAATAACAGGCTCCAAAAACGATCATTTCTGGAAAAAAGTAAATACACGCGGTTCACATGAATTTAAAGAAAAAAATTGATGATGCGCTGGATTTATATTTTTGGTTTGAACAAAAAAAGAACGAAGTGAAGTTGTCGCCAGTGAAGTTTTTGTCAATCATTCGGAGCATTTTTCACATTGAATGAAAGAAGAGTTGGGAGATTCCCAAGATTGAGAGATTAAAAACGATTACATTTTTTTAGCTATACATAAATGTCAACTCGTTAAGCAAAACGCCATTGCTTCAATTTTCAGGATTCAATTAATATGTTATATTTCGTTTAATTTTTAGTCGTGACTTACCGTAAGCGCATTTTTTTTTAAGATAGGTACTTTGTTGTTTAAAGTCTGTATTTCGAGGCAAAAAGTGGGTCATTAAACCTTAGTTTATTTCTCCACAATTTCACGCACATGGAAATTCCTTTAAAATGTTTCTGAAATGATTGTACAAAATAATTATATTTCACAAAACGATTTATAAAAAAAGCTGACGATTTCTCTGACGCGTTTTTGTTTGCTTCCATCGAAGAGTTTCGAAATCATTGGACTGATGGTTACTCAGGTTTTAATAAATTATTTCCAGAAAATCCCCAAGACTTTAAAAATTTCACCAAGTGCTTCAAGAACTTGACAAGAACAGCACCACTCGAAATACTTTTTTTTTTCCAAAGTGAATCTTCGCTAAAATTAAAACGAGATTCAGGATGGGAAGTTCCCAAAAATTTACGTCGTCGACAGGAACTGGAGGCAGAAGCGGAGTTTCTCAGGTCTCGGTTTATTTCGGCACGGATCTGTTTAAATTCGTTGATATACACTGTCGACAGCTTGTTACTTCCGGAAAATTTGTTTCAAAGAAAAAAAAAAGAGAACATTCTTCGGGGAAAAATTCCTCAAATTTCAAACTGACTGTAGCAGAAGTTCCGCGGAATTTTCCGGAATCACTCGACGCATTTTTAATTTAACGTTTTCCAGGAATAAATAGCCATGCTGTTCATCTTGTGACTGGACCGGAAACAAAATGTTTAAAAGGTAAAAAAAAATACTGTGCTTGCATAAATTCAAAAAACCGCATAATTTTCAGAAAAAATTGAATGTTTGAATCAATTCTAGCATCTATTTCACGAATTTGAAACTCGAATAAAAATCGAAAACAACTTCAGGATTCCAAAAAAATTAAAAAACACAAAATATGTCTTTTGTGAACCAATTTTAATTGAAGTTTATATAAGTTTTCACCAAGTATTCCAAGTTGATTTTTACGCCAAGTTCAAAACTTTTCTTGAAAAAAGTACTGTATTTTGGAACTTCAACTGGAAGTTATTCATGGACTAAAAACGCAGAATTTTCGAAAAGTTGTCTATGAAAAAAAGATCCACTTATTCACAGTTTAATCTTGTTTCACTGATCTCAGATTTCATTCAAAATCCGACATCAATTGTTCGTCTTTTTCCCTCGTCGTGTTTCGCACATTTCTTTCCCGTGGGGAGGAAATAAATGCGTGTTGGCATTGAACACGTTTTCTTGCTTGTTTTTTGAATTCGAAACACGTTCCACGACGATGAGGAATAATTTAAGGCTCACACATTCTTATCCGAAAAAAATATAAATTCGATTTCCCTGCGCAAGATTTAGGAGATACTCGTTCGGACAGGAAGACGACTGGTCGCAATAATTCCGGTTCCACAAAACAGAAAAAACAGTCCTACAAATTCATATTTTATTCTTCTGTTCTTTTCTTTATTTCTAAGGAATGTTCTTGAAAAGAATGAAGACAGGTGCAGATTTTCCTCGGGTTCAAGAACGAACCAAGGCGTGGTCGACGAGGAGATTAACGAGTCTCAATAATCCCTTCTCAACCCAGGGCAACTCAAAAAATTTCACCCAAGGGTTCTAAAATAAACCTTGTTCAAAAATAAAATAAATGAATAAACGAAAATTCACCTTCAATATGACCCTGATCAAAAATGTATCCAAACTATAGCAAAAGATACCGTTGTTAAAATTAACCTGATATATTTTATCAGGATTTCCAAAACGTCAATCGTCCAGCAATTTAATTTATATAATTTAATGGTGTATAAATTAATTTTTCTAATTAATTTTCGTCTAATAGTAGACGGCGAACGAAGTATTGGACTGAGAAACTAAATGGAATGGCTCAACAATTGCACATCATTTTACAAAATTCCTCACAGTTTCTTGAATGAATATAAATTCAAAAATGAATAAAAGAAAGTTCCACACGGAAACGAATTTTCACAACTTTTTCTTGCCAAAACATAAGAAGATTTTTCATTTAGCCAACCGAGGTCAGCTTTCCGGAGTGAAAATCAATCGAAATAAACCCACTATGCGAGGCATCCATTAACCGGAGTACGAATAATTAAAATTCAATTTTGTGATGCAGCACACCAAAAACAAAAAAAAATCTCGATGAAGTAAGGATGTTTTAAAATGCATTTTGTGAAAGCCCCTCGCGTATATCCGAAACAAGGCCGTAAAAGGAGAACACTCAGCATGCACACATCGTTAAACGTCACATTATTCATGCCCTGAAAGACTGGTTTGTTTATGTTATTTCTATCCGGCAACGACGTCGGAGATTTAATCGCCTATTTCGTGGAACACTCAAACTAATTTTTATGTTATCAAATCAAGGAAAAAAATCAGAAACACTATCGTTGCGCAATTTTTCTTCCGGCACTTCAAATAAGTCATAAAATTTCCATGTATAGAAAATCAGGTCGTTTTTTTAGAAATCGAGCAGAGAGAGAAAAATCTCTGAAGCTTATTGAAAATTAAAATAATTAAGAATCCATTTTGTCTCGACTGATGAGATCCTATCGTCGTCTTGCCCACAAAAAATATGTAGGCCAATATTATTTTTTCATCTGACATGCGTTTTCACTGATCTATAAATTCAATTAAAAAACGGGTTTTCAAAAACAAAAGATCACACATGAAGTCGAAACTCTTGAAAAATTTCCCACACTGCAAAATGCGAATTGCAGCAACCAAACGAGAAATACGGAGTGAGAATTCAAAAATTATCACTCCCAAAGTACTTTGCGCGAATTTTAAATCCCGAAAAAGTTTTCTGGTGACCTCAGAAAAATACCCACAAATTTCACAAATGCTTCGAAGGTCACGTTTCCACGAAAAAAAACGATATCAAAATTCCACAGTATTAAAAAAAAACTTCAACTCTGAAGTGAACAAGGCTTATTTTCTTCCTGCATCTCATCCAATGAGAGTGTTGCCATATAGTGAACATGTGAATAATTCGCAAAAAATAATAGTCTCGCCCGCACGGAAGCGTCGTCACACTGCATGTCACTAACACGTCAATCATGCCTCCCTACTGTGTCACTGTCGACGACGGTATAAAACGAAACCAAATTTGAAAGACAGGAGAAAGAGAGAGTGAGAGAGAGAGATAAAAAAAAACGCTCGCGGTTCACGATTCAATAAATTGAGTCAGTGAGTGAGTTCAGAAGAACGTCCTCCCAAGATCCCTCATTATATAACTATTCTTTTATTCAGAAAGATACAATGGCAAATATTAAAGAACTTTTTTTTGCGATAATCCTCCAAATCAGTCACAGGAAAAATCTCTTCCGTTTTTGACGCCATTCCAAATTTATTGCGCCGATTGTACGCAAGCGATCAATTTTAAAACATGAATACATGCATTTCGATCTAAAACTATGAATGCAACCCGTGATGTGTACAGTAAAATACATTTTATGTGCAGCGTATATATTATTTGAAGTTAAATTAACGTAAAAAGTATGGTTATGATTCCTAAATTCTCATCGAAACGCTACTCAGATGCAATTTAAAGATGAATAAGTCCAAAATTATCGATTTTAATGAATCATTCACTGATAAATTCACGTGCAAATATATTTGCAGGTGTATCATCTGATCAACGTTATTGTACAGCATTTTGCGCAACACATTTCATATAAGCAATGGAGTGAATATTTTCACAAATTTTTCGGAGATTCCATGAACAGGTCATTCGGCAGGAAATAGATGTCGCACGCCGTTCGCACTTCGAATTCTCTATCGTACTTTCATCATTCAAAAAAATCCCCCATTTAATGCCTGGGCAATGTCTTAAAAGCAACGCATTTTAAACCTCTAAAACTTGAACATTTTTGCTCTAGCTCGCCTTAGCTGAATGTTCAAAACCGTTTGTGTCATCAAAGTGGAGGTACATTCTCTACAGCACCCATTACAAGAAAACAAATGAAAATTATTCTCTTGACGTTCAAAAATATTCCTCACAGGAAGTACATTCAAAATGATAAAACATTGTCAATAAAAGTCAGAAATTGATAACCCTTGATTAACCTAAACAAATCATGTCATGTTCCCAACTGATGAATCTCTAATTCAAATATTTTTCAATTCCTTTCAAATTTGATGCTAAAAAAAGCTTCTTCTTTCAGTTGTTTTTTCACGAGACACCGTATGTAGTCTTCCGAATGCAATTTTCACCCAAACTAAGACCCAAGAAGATAAATCTTGGCCAAAAAAATGCCGATAGGATTATGAGAAACAATGCTGATTTGTTCGTTAAAATGAACAATGAACGTCTTTGGAATTAAGTGACAGCTGAGTTCACAACCCCGACTCAAACACATGACACTTGAAAAAAAACACACATGGCCAAGTGAAAAATCTCAAGTGAATGTACAAGCGACGCTTTTGGAGTCAGTCGACGCAGTGACACTGCGAAGTCACGCAATGTCACACGAACCCGCGACACGATCGACAGTGACGTAAATTCCCAGGACAAGGGGAGGAAGAATGCGCATAAATATTTCTTATTGTTCAGGAATGATCTCCCGAATAAATTATTAATACCAATTATTTCGACATGGTAATATACAAACAAAAACCTCTCGAGTTTCATAATTATATTCATGACATGATGAAAAAAAATTGAAACATTTTAAGTAACTCCGCGGAAATTTT